ATATATATATATATATATTATATATATATATATATATTTTATATATATATATACACACAATGGAATATTATTCCATCATGAGAAAGGAGGACATCCTGCTACAGATATTTGTGACAACACGGATGGACCTTGAGCGCCTGACGCTAAGGGAGATTAAGTCAGACCAAGAAAGACAAGTACTGTATGATATCACTTATATGTGGAATCTTAAAAAGCCAAAGTCATAAAAACAGAGAGTAAAAATGGTGGTTACCAGGATGAAACAGGCTGGGACGTGGGACCTTATGCTGCAGTGCTGCAACGCTTGCACCTGGACAAACGTCTCCTTGAGCAACAAAATACAAAGAAACTATAAGGGACTAAAAAAAATAACTGCGTGCATGCGCAGTTGGGGCAAAATCTGGACAACAAGATACAAAGAGACCAAAAAGCCCTACTGCCACTTCTGAAGAGCTGGGAGCAAAAGCAGCGGGTCGGGGGAGCAAAATCGGAGTACTGCGCATGCCCCCTGCACACACCACCACCTGAGGGGTGGGCAAACCACCTCAGCCCCTCCTCCAGCCCCACCGCTGGACACACTCCTACCCTCCCCCAATGTGAGGGACCAGCTTGCAGCCCCCTCAGCTAGCGAGCCAGCGAGCGAGCCAGCAAGCCAGCTGCAGCAGGGACCGCAATAAGGCCTTGCCTGAATTTCTTGGCTGGCCTCTGATCAATTTCTATTGATTAAGGAGGCCAGGAGCCTTGGTCGGTAAGAAGGAGATGGGCTTGCAGGGGATAGGAGAGATGTTGTTTAAGGGTGCAGACTTGCAACAAGTAGTAAATAAGCCATAGAGCTCTAACATGAATACAGACAACAACATTTTATTATAATCATCGAACTTGCTAAAAGACTAGAACTTAATTATTCCAACCACTAAAAAGAAAAGATAATTATGTAATGGGATATAGGTGTGAAATATTGCTACAATGGCAGTCATATAGCAATATATAAATGTATCAAATTAAAATATTGTACACCTCAAATTTAAAAAGTGTTATATGTCAAATATATTCAATTTAAAACAGAAAAAAAAAAAAAAAGAAAAACAAAGGCTCTTCTCAACCCAGAAAACCTCTCCACACAGGTAGAAGAGAAAAAAGAAAAAGTTTTATTACAGCTTTAAACCAGAATGTGACGTGCACTACAGGCAGTTTGCTAAGAAATTGCAAAGACCGAAAGAAAGCTCACTCCCTTATATAGCCAGACGGATACAACCCCCTACATACATGTTCTTAAGATAAACAGTAACTAGTCCTCAAGTAAGAGGACTTGACAGCACCATTTGTCACATATCCTAAGTTCATCTGGTAATTGGAGGTGATTGTCTGTATTAGTTAATTAGCTTTATCCAAAGGAAGAATAAACTTCTCACATCTTCAGGACTGGAGGTAGCTTTGCAACCTGGAGCGTGGTGTCCACCTCAGCTGGGCTCTTACCCTCCCCCAGAATCTCAACCTTGGTAAAAGCAATTTTATTTTATTTATTTTATTTTTAAAAATTAATTTATTTTTAATAAATTTATTTTATTTATTTTATTTTTGGCGGCGTTGGGTCTTCATTGCTACAAGCGGGCTTTTCTCTGGTTGCGGCAAGCAGGGACTACTCTTTGTTGCGGTGTGTGGGCTTCTCATTGTGGTGGCTGCTCTTGTTGCGGAGCACTGGCTCTAGGTGCGCAGGCTCAGAAGTTGTGGCGCATGGGCTTAGTTGCTCCGCGGCATGTGAGATCTTCCCAGACCAGGGCTCGAACCCATGTCCGCTGCATTGGTAGACGGATTCTTAACCACTACGCCGCCAGGGAAGCCCAGTAAAAGCAATTTTAGAGAAAGAGGCGATGGAAAGAGAGCAAGGAGGAGTGATGGGAGATGAAAAAATAGAAGCAAAGAAAATATGTCCAGATAGTTGAAGATGCTTGACAGAGAAGGGAAGAGGCACTGAAAGGAATGGAAGACCAAGGAAGTGATTTTTTTTCCGTAAGTGTCTTTAGAGGCCGTGAGGGATGGGTGACAAAACCGATGCAGAGGGGGAAGTTGAAGGCTGAAAGGCCACAGGCTGAAAAAAAAAAAAAAAAAAAGACACGGGAACCACCTTGAAAGGACTCCCATTTGCCTTAACATGGGACAATTTGAACACCAAAAGGAATAATGACTGCAATGGATTGAAACACACCAAATACATAAAATCCATAACTTCATAGTGATTCTAAATAAAAATGACCACTTGGAGGTTTCTAGTGCAGCAATTCATTACTCAGAATATTGATAAATAAAGGGGGAAAATCAAGTATTTATTTTGTCTTTTCTATACAAATTATTTTTCCAGGGTTATCAAGTAGTTAACGAGGGGGAAATTCTTCACGGAAGAATTCCAGCTAATAAGTGCAGAAGAAATGACAGAAGTAGAAAATTCACTATTATGCAATCCCTAATGCAATAATAGTTCTAAGCAACAATCATCAATGGATGCTAAAATGATTAGGTGAAAGATTGATAAGGAATTCTGCAATGAAGGGTCAGGTTGACACCATCTGAGTCCTGTGATCAATTTTAGCCCCACTAAATTTGGGATATCCAGACAGTATATGCCTCCTGATGTGATACAACAAAAATTGCACAGCATCACCTGTGAACTATTTTTTTTTAACTTTTTAATTTATATTGGAGTATAGCCAGTTAACAATGTTGTGATAGTTTCAGGTGCACAGCAAAGGGACTCAACCATACATACACATGTATCCATTCTCCCCCAACCTCCCCTCCCATCCAGGCTGCCACATGACATTGAGCAGAGTTCCCTGTGCTATACAGTAGGTCCTTGTTGGTTATCCATTTAAAAAAATAAATTCATTTATTTTACTTATTTTATTTTTGGCCATGTTGGGTCTTCGTTGCTGCGCGTGGGCGTTCTGTAGCTGCGGCGAGCGGGGGCTACTCTTCGTTGCGGTGCACAGGCTTCTCACTGCGGTGGCTTCTCTTGTTGCAGAGCATGGGCTCTAGGTGCGTGGGCTATATACTTTACATATATCTCATTTGATTCATGTAACCCTGCCAGATCGACATTATTTCCATTTCATAGGTGAAAAACTTGAGGCTTCCAGTGGTGAAAAAACGTGCCCATTGTCATATAGCTAACAGGTGGATCTAGAGTCAGGTAGTCCTTGACTGTAGGAGTACCTGATTTTATAGAGCCTAATGGTAATAGTAGTAGTAATAGCATCTAACAGTTATGGAACGTTTTCCTCTGTGTGTGGCGTTTTACCAAGAGTTTAATTTAATCGTACATTAAATCTTTGAAATAATGCCATGAAGCAGGTGCTTTTACTGCAATTTTCAGCTGAGGAATCTGAGGCTCAGAGTAGTTAATAATCTTGTGCAAGAAGTTTATAACTGTTAATGCTTACATTGAAAAAAAAAAAGAAAGATCTCAAATCAGCAACTGAACTTGACAACTTAAGGAACTAGCAAAAGAAGAATAAACCAAACCATGAGCTAGCAGAAGGAAGGAAATAATAACAATTAGAGCGGAGATAAACAGAGAATAGACAGATAATAAAGAAAATCGGTAAAAACAAAAATTGGTTCTTCAAAAAAGATTGACAAAATTGACAAACCTTTAACTAGAATGCTCGAGAAAAAAAGGGAAGATTCAGATTACTAAAATCAGAAATGAAAGTGGGAACATAACTACCAATTCTCAAGAAATAATAAGAATTACAAGAGTATTATGAATAATTATATGCCAACAAGTTGCATAACTTCGATGAAATAGACAAATTCCTAGAAACTCAAAAGCTACCAAGGTGGAATCACAAAGACACAGAAAATATGATAGACCTATAACTAAGAAGGAGATTAAATCAGTTTAAGCATTAGACAAAATTCAAAATCCTTTCATCACACTCTAACTCAGAATAGAAGGAAATTACCTCTACATAATAGAGGCCATATATTAAAACCCATATCTAACATCATTCTAAATATGAAAGCCTGAAAGTTTTTCCATTAAGATCAAGAACAAGATAAGGATGCCTGCCTTTGCCACTTCTCTTCAAAATAGTATTGAAAGTAATAGTCAGGGCTTCCCTGGTGGTGCAGTGGTTGAGAGTCCACCTGCTGATGAAAGGGACACGGGTTCGTGCCCTGGTCCGGGAAGATCCCACATACCGCGGAGCGGCTGGGCCCGTGAGCCATGGCCGCTGAGCCTGCGCATCTGTAGCCTGTGCTCCGCAGCGGGAGAGGCCACAACGGTGAGAGGCCCG